GGACATGTCCAAACCATCTCAGTGTGTCCTCTCTAACTTTATCTCCCAGTTGTTCAACCTGTGCTGTACCTCTGATGATCTCATTCCTAATCTTCTCCATCCTTGTCACTCCTCAGGAGAACCTCATCATCTTCAGCTCTGCCACTTCCAGTTCTGTCTCCTGTCTTTTTGTCCATGTCTCTGTCTCCAGACCAGACAACATAGCTGGTCTCACCACTATCTTGTAAACTTTTCCTTTGACCTTTGCTGACACCCTTTGGCCACAAATCACTCCTGAAACTTTTCTCCATCACTCCATCCTGCCTGGACTCTCTTCTTCACCTCTTTACCACACTCCACATGTTCCTGGACAGTGGACCCCAAGTCCTTGAAGTCCTGCTCCTTTGTGACCTCTGCTCCTTGTAGCCTCACTGTTCCACCTCCTCCCTCTCATTCACACACGTGGACTCTGTCTTACTACGGCTGACTTTCATTCCTCTTCTTTCAAGTGCATACCTCCACCTCTCCAAGTTCTCTTCCACCTGTTCCCTGTTCTCACCACAGATCACGTCATCTGCAAACATCAGAGTCCACAAGGATTCCTGCCTGACCTCGTCTGTTAGTCAGTCCATCACCAGAGCAAACAAGAAGGGGCTCAGAGCTGATCCTTGATGCACTCCCACCTCCACCTTGAAGCTATCTGTCACTCCTACAGCACATCTCACCACTGTCCTGCTGTCCTCATACATGTCCTGCTGTCCTCATACATGTCCTGTACCAGTCTAACATACTTTTCTGCCACTCCAGATTTCATCATCCAGATGTCCTCATGTAACACCACACCTCCACCCTCAGCACTCTGTCAGATGCTTTTTCTAAATCCACAAAGACACAATGGAGTTCTTTCTGACCCTCTCTGTTCTTCTCCATCAGCATCCTCAAATCAAAGATGGATCTGTGGTGCTCTTTCTTGGCATGAAACCATCCTGCTGCTCACAGATAGTCACCTCTCGTCTAAGTCTTGCTTCCACAACTCTTTCCCAGATCTTCATCATGTGACTCATCAACCTGATTCCCCTGTAGTTGCTACAACTCTGTACATCACCCTTGTTCTTAAAAATGGCCACCAGCACTTCTTCTGCATTCCTGAGGCATTTTCTCACCCTCAAATATGTCATGGAATATTTGAGTTAAAAACCTCACTGCCATCTCTCCAAGACATTTCCAAACCTCCACTGGTCATCAGGTCCTACTGCCTTCACCTTCTTCATTCTTTTCAGAGCTTTCTGGACTTCACCCTCACTAATCTTTCCCACTTCCTGGTCCACAGTTTCTATGACCTCTACTCTTCTTTCTCTTTCATTCTCTTCATTCATTAGCTCCTCAAAGTACCCCTTCCATCTTCTCATCGTGGTCTCCTCACTTGTTATAACATTACCATTCCTGTCTTTAATAAGCCTAACCTGCTGCACATCCTTTCCAGCCTGATCCCTCTGTCTTCCCAATCAGTACAAGTCCTTCTCTCCCTCTTTAGTGTCCAGTCTCCCATACAACTCATCATTCATCTTCTGCTTTGTCTTAGCTACCTCCCTTTGCTCTACGTCCCATCTCCTTATCTTCCTGTCTCCTCTCTTCAGTCCTCTCTCTGTCATATTTCTTCTTGGCTAACCTCTTTCTTTGAACATCTTCCTGCACTTCACTATTCCACCACCAGGTTTCCTGAACATCCATTCTCTGTCCAGGTGACACACCAAGTACCTTCTTACCTGTCTCTCTAATTACTGTTGCTGTAGCAGTCCAGTCATCTGGAAGCTCTTTCTTACCACCCAGAGAGGTTTATCCAGGACTTTCTCTGTTTATTACACAAACTGTGACGTTAAAGATGTGATGTGTCACATGTCATTGAAGATTGAGACATGTTCATTTTATGACATGCACAGCATGTGCATTGTAAAAAACATGCATTAAGATGAGAAAGGTATCACTTGTAGTTTTTCTGCCTTAAATGTTATAGAAGTGTTGTGAGTTCTTGTAATCTCGTTTGATCAACTTGGATTAGCAGAGGAATTACAGCAGCTGTTCTCCTCTCAGCAGATACTGTAACAGAAGACAGACTTGAGAAAGAACCAATCCAGGCTGGTGTATTCATGTGACGTCAGTCAAAGTTGTAGAGAGTTCTGTGGTGAAGTAGTAAAAATCCAGACGACAAATAAAGAACTTGGCATCATGTTGTGCAGAACGGGTGACCCAAAGTTGCACATGAATTATTTTCACAGGAACAAACATTTGGTGAGAAAAGGCCAACAGTCAACATGCGTGTTGTTAATGTGCAGCGGCGCGTGGAACGTGTTCACCTTCGCGTAGTTTTCCCAGCTTCAAGGTCATTTGTGCTTCTCTTTACACAGATCTGTAAGTTTCAGGGTCGTGCATGAAACGTCTTTTCTAGATGGGACACACTTTTATGTTTGTGCACCATGAGGACATCAGTGTTGTGAGTGACGGAGCAGTGCTGACGTTTAAAACAAACGCACCCGTTTACTTGATTTGAAGGAAAGCTGTCGGTTACTAAACTTTACATGGTGACACAGTTATAACATGAATCTGAATCAAGTGTATTAAATGCTTCTTTTCACTTTTTAAAATGCACCGTCTCCACATGGTGGCGTCTGTTAGAAGCTTTGACCCTGTTCCAGCTGATGGTTTGTTCTGTCCACAGCTTTGCTCGAAGCTTTAACAAAGAATGGGAGCTCTGCCAGTAATGGTGCACGTCACAGGAAACCAGCAGAATGCTCAGAAGCTAATGGTGCCAACACTGGAGGAGAGACCGGAGGAAGCGACTCTGCAAAAGGCTTCACTCAAGACCAGGTTGAAGGTGTGCAGAGGTGAGACCTTCTCCAGGCTGCCCTTCTGATCGTTGGGCTGCTTTTTAACTGGTGGAAGTTTGTGAGCACATGAAGACGTGTTGGTGTCTGCAGCGGGCGCGCCTTCACACACTGCTACATTTAGCAGTGTGAGGGAGATACCTGGCAACCACAACATGCTTCAGTTTGACACCAGGACACGGGACGAACAGAACGTGTGTAACTAGAAGTCGTAGTCTCCAGACCTCTGTACTTGGTGCCAGTTTAAACTATGATGCGTTTCTTCTAATGTTTCTGCGAAGAAAATGAGCTTTGCACTAAAACAGTTTCCAGTGACATCATCGCTCACAGCTGGAGCGCTGAGGGATACGAGTAAGACAGAAAATAATCCAGCTTTTATAACTTTGTCAAAATAATCCAGCTTTTATAACTTTGTCAGTCACTTACCAGTGATGGACTGGTATGAAAACTAGCCCTTGAGTTTGTTGAAGAGTTTCCAGTAAAGCAGCTTGGTACAAACGTCTGGAGATGTTTTGTAGCTTCATGTTTGTCTCGTCTTTGTGCCTGAGCTCAAACGTCCAGAGCTTCCAAAGATAATTCATGTGTGGAGTTCAGAAGGTCACAAAGTAAGAAGTTGTCCCGTGGCTGCAGAGTAAACCACCAGTAAACCATGTTTCCATGTTCTGGTCATTGTTCTTGTTCCCTCTCAGAATAAAGCGGTGTAAGGACTATTACGAAGTTCTTGGTGTCAACAAGGAAGCCAACGATGACGAGCTGAAGAAGGCCTACAGGAAGCAAGCGCTCAGGTTCCACCCCGACAAGAACCACGCACCCGGAGCAACAGGGGCCTTCAAAAGTAACCAGTTACCTTCTGCTGCTGCTCACCTGCTTGATGTTTCTCTGCTGCTGCTCACCTGTTTGATGTTTCTCTGCTGC